ACCAGAATATAAATAGAGAAGTATATTTAAATTACTTTCTGTAAAATATTCAAATTATCTCGATGAACAAGTGCTTTTCATTCTGTTTGTCGGGGGGGAATATTCAGGTTGCAAAGGCTAAAACATGAATTCTAAACAAACTTCAATTATGAAAGAAAGAGTGATGCCTTTAGGAGGGCACTTGAAGGGCTTTATTTGTATGAAGTCAGCTATTTTAGACTAGATACTGAAACCCATGGCTATCCAGCATCCATTCCTTCATTATTTTTTTAAATAGGAAAGAATATAGTACTTTGTTCAATTAGGATTATTAGGATTAAAGAGGCCACATTCCATGCTTTCCTTATAAAAAGAATAACATGTCTGTGTTGCTATGGCTTTATTTCTCACATTACCAATCAGGCCTGCATCGTACTCTTAGAGTGGGTGAAAAGTCCACAGTGATCAATGTGATCATGCCGTGAAGTCAAAGTGCATAATTTTAGTCTGAACCCACCCTTCCTAGGGTCCAAATTAGCAATCTAGGGCCTTAAAATTAAGTACATAATTAACTTCCCAAATCTACTTTATCTTATGTTATTAAAACCCACAATTAAATAATTCTACTACGTGCAGCTGTTAGGATAGCTTTGCAATAAGCCTGAGATGAGCCAAACAACATGGGTCTGTTTAGGAAACTGCTTTCCACATAATTGAGATATAAATGTCACACCATCTGTTCAATCTATGCCCCCACCCCAATGCACTGATTTGAAAATCAATGCAAAAGTAAGTAGCTATTTCAAAGATGATTATTACTACAACCAGCAGGATCACTGATGACCCAGTAATAAATCAACTAGTTCAAATTTTCCAATATGATTTGCCTTCCCTGTTTGTTCCCCAAAGAACCAACAACCAAGCCCCCAACAAAAAAAAAACCCAACAAGAAAAACAACCCCCTTCCCCATTTTCCCCACCATCCCTGCTGCCACCCTCCCTTGCAACCACTACCTGACCTAAGTCCCAAGGCAGCTCCAGCCAGTTGAAATCCAAATAGTAGAGACTTAACATTCCCCTGGATGAAAGCTTGGAAAGAAATGTTCCATTGAAGCAGACAGAGCCAAAAAATGAGCCACATCCACAGGCACCAGTGGAGATCCAAAGATCAAGGAATCAAATACAAATGCCAAGTCCAGAGGGGCAAAAATGGTATTATCAATGGTAAAGAAAACCAAGGACAAGTCAGGAGCCAAAGATGGATGGATACAGGTCAAACATGATCATAGAATTAGATCAGGCCTTGAATAAATGCTCAAAATTATTGACCAATGTATTGATAAACCTGCTATTAAAGGCCCAGGAGTAAGAAAAGTGCCCAAGTTGTGATAATTTAAAGTCTATTCAAGATTTCCCATATTAGGCAGTAAAATAAAAAGCTAGAAGAGTGAAATACTTAACAGGCTAACTGAAATATTCCACAATGTAAATGCCAGAATAAAAGTTCTCATAAGTGCTACAAGAACCATAAGTTGTGCCTGATTTGTTCATTGACGTATCCTCAGCAACCACAATGGCAATTGGCACATAGTAGTTATTTATTAAATATTTGTAGAATGTAGGCATGCATGACGGAATAAACAAATATGTGTGTTCTATTTAATTCATAATGAAAGCATTATGTAGTGGTAATTCCTAAACTTCTATATAAAATTTGAGGAATTTATGCATTTGGATACTTCTCAAATAACAGTAACTGTGTAATCATTGTATGGGGAGGAAGAAGAGGAATGGAACTGACTTGACTGCAGTATGAAAATGAATTTCCTCTGCCTCCTCATCACCATTCCAGTGATTTGACCATTTTCCAAGCTTTCATTTATCTTGATTCACCTTAGTGGTTTTTTTTTTCCTTGCCTTCCTGCACATGTGTTATAATTACTCCTATTGTTGAAAACGATATTGATGTCAAGTATAAGAAACTCATTAGACTTCCAAGGGGAAAGGGTCCATAGGCAGTTGAATAAAATAGTCCAGAGTTTAGGGTAGAAATCAGGCGAATAGACGTAAATTTGGGAACCACCAGTAGTATGCAGAGAGTATGGACGCCATAGGACTAGAGGTGATTGCCAAGGAAATGATTGTTGGCAGAGAAGTGAAGTGGTCCAAGGCTCAAGCCCAGAAGATTGCAGGGTAGGGTTGCCAGATAAAATACAGAATGCCCAGTTAAATTTGAATTTAATATACACAACGGATAATTTGTAGTATAATTTTGTCCCAAATATTACATGGACATCTGTATATTTTAAAATATTCACTATGTGAAGTTCCAATTTAACTAAGCAGCCTGTGTTTTTATTTGATAACTGGCAACTCTACTTCAATGGTTAGAGGTCAGGTAATTCAGAAGAAGCATCCAGTGATGTTGGAGAAAAGCCAAGAGAGTATAGAGTCACAGAAACCAAGTGAAGAAAGTGTATCCAGATGCCAAGAGTCTTTCTAGAACAGGCATTTTCCCAAACAGATGTTCAGAGGAGCATCTCAGCTATTACTGTCAGAGATGGGGGTTGAATGAACCCCCACTCAAATTAATTCAAAAATAGCACCTTTATCTGCTTTACCTATAAGGGCTCCAAGTAAACTTTCATTGTAGTAAAAATTTTTGTAGTGGAACAATGAGTTTGAAAACTAATGAGCAAGGAAATTCATACCATTTAAAACAGATCAAATACCTCAAGGCGGAATTAAAGGAGATTCAGGCAAAATGTTTACTTTTATTCCAGAATTTATATTCTTTCTTTTTAGTTTCCAGCTTATAATTGAAGAGTGTATAAAACAGATGAGTTTTGAACTGAATCAAATGAGAGCAAATGGAAATGCCACATCTAATAAGAACAGTGCAGCAATGGATGCAGAAATTGTGTTAAGACCTCTCATGGATTTTTTGGACAAGACGTAAGTTTTCTACCAAGTTTTCTCTTTACTAATTGCCCTAAATTTGACTGATAAAGCTTTATGGAAAAAAAAATTATCTTTCTCTATATAAGATAGCTTTGAAAAGATTGCTATAGAAATAAATTAATTCATTAAAAAACAACACACTTTCAATTCATTAGTAGATGATAAAAAAATCAGGAATGACTGTACAGGAAGGGAAAAAAATGAGAGGAAATAAATATGGGTAACACAGGAGATGGCGGTTATGAGGCAGACAGAGATTTAGGAATTCATGCTCCTCAGATAACATATTGTTTTGCATCCTCCTGTATATAGAAAAAGACTGAACTGAGTCCATAATATCTGATTTCATGTCAGAAACCCACTGAAGAAGAGAATGGCACAAATGTGACTAGAATTAATTCAGCGCAGAGGCAAGCAGATAGCTGCCTGACTCAACTTTCAACAACTGTCATTTGAGTGCCCGTCTATACCAAACCTATTCTAGGCACTGGACAATAATGAAAAAGAAAGTCCAAGTGGCTGATACCATGGAGATTACAGTCTAGTAGTGGTGGGAGTGGGTAGGAATGGAGGCCTTTGTGACTGACTAACACAGTGTTCCAAACCAGGAAGGTTAGTCGGGTTGGTCTGTTTGTTTTTTTAACACATTGACTGCCACACTAGAAAAAAAAAATTTTCCCTGGGGATACAGTGTTTTATTAAAACAAAATGATCCTTTCTAATTTGTTATTTTTTATTGTTTTCTGTGCATGAGTCATATGCAACACAATCCACATTTTTAGAATTTGTCGATATTAATCGTGACAATAAGAATATCAACACGTAAGATTTTCGTGAACCAACTGCAGGGTTTTGCTTCACGCGGCCCTGGGCTCAAAGCTAGCCTGAATTAAATACAAATCACATGGCAGTCAATGTGTTAATGTTTCTGCTTTGTCCCTAGTCTTAGAAGTTCTAATTTAGTAAGTTTAGGCTAGGGTCAGGTGCCTGTATTTTAAAATGTATCCACAATGGGGGACCATTGATGGAAAGAAACCAGAGACATGATTTCATAAACAGTGATACTAAAAACCAGAACTGAAGGTAAAAGAGAAAAGTAAATAACAATTTTGAATGCCTACCAAGGGATCAGTGTCATATGTGGTAGTTTACATATGTTATCTCATTTATTATTTTTGTGGCAAATTAACACCAAAGAGAGCAAAATGTAAAAGAGGGGTACAGTTCCTTTCTATTTAATATAAAAATAAAGACAATGAAGAAGGAATTAGTAGAGAGCACCTCTTCTGTGTATTTATGACTTCTATTTTAATTCCACTTCCCTTTGGCTATAATCCTACTGCATAAATAAGACTGATATTCTTATCAATTTATTCTCACTATTTGGTAGAAAAATTAAGTCTTACATTCTTTTTTCTGTAAGGACATATCCTGAAGATAGGTGAATAGGTAACTATATAACAAGAAGATAAGTAGGCAGGTGGGTATATAAGAAAAGGATAAGAAAGAAGAGAGAGAGGAAAAGGAATAAGAAAAGAAAGAGAGAGAAAGAAAAGGAAGAAAGAGAGAAACAGACAGACTTTTCTTCATTTCTTTAGTTTCTGAATGTGGACTTTTACCACATCGTTTCCTATGCATTCCTTTGAAATTTTTACTTTATTATAGGACTTTTTTCTGCGGACAATACAGAATCAGATCACTATAGGCCAGGGTTGTGAATGTGTTGGTGATACACAGCAGGACTAAGCCATGCCGATTCTCTTAAAACTCTCACTGGAATGCCTCCTGTGTTTTAGAACTCCAACCGGTAGTTTGCAGACACATTTATCATTTGCGAAACTGTTTTGTATATTCTATGATCAAGGTTGCACAACATAGAGTTTTAAGTAATCTTGATATTGCCAATTACTAGCTGAGTGACTTTAAATCTATTTCACCATCTGTAAAATGGAGCTAATAGAGAAGGTGTGTTGACCCTTATTTTCAGTACATTTAGAGTCTTCTTTTACCAGTCCTAATTTTTGACTTCTGATTATTATGTCATGTATGTCATTTCTTAGAATTCTTAGTAGAAAGAGATAATATATAAGACAGAAAAGAATCTATGCACTTTAAAAATTTGTGAAAGTGATTTAAAATTTTTTGAAATAGATATTATACAAGACAGGGAATTGCAGAAATTCTCAGGGCTAATTCAGAATGCATGTCTTTAAAAGTACTAGTTAGGGGAGATATTTAGAAGTCAGATATTGATTTTGTTTTCAAACAGCTAATAATTTAGGAGAAGAAATAAGAAAGGTACACAGATAAACATAATAAGGTGTAAAGGGGTAATGAGTAGAAATTTTATTTCGACTTGAAAGAATGAGTGGAAATTTCGTTTGAGTTGGGTATGTAAAGGTGGATAGAGTTTGGATGTATGGAAATGAGGGATAGGCGTTCTAGGCAGAGGGAAAACAGCTGGGTAAGTTTTTATGAAAGTATGATCAACTGTGTAATAGGAAATCTCCATTGCCAGCCAGTCCACATGGCAGTTGACAATTGTCTGGTTAATTGGTTCTGTGTTCAGCCAATCTAGACAGCTCAGGTTCCAAAATATATGCTTTTCACCTTGCATTATCCAGTTAATTAACTCTGACTAAATTAAAAAGACAGTTGCTAGATTTCCCCTTTATTTTTCATTATTGAAAACAAACAGTAGAGGGCTGAAAGTCTTAAGGAAGGTTTTGAGAAAATCTCCTTAGAAATCATGTTGTATAGGCACTCTCTGTCTTTGTGCAGCTCCTCTAAATAAAACATCTTACTTCTTTATGTTTCACTTTCTCCACCAAGACCTCACCACTTTATAAAATGAGCTATAAACTCCATTTCCAACCATCAGAAATCCCATGAAGAGCTGCAAACATGTCAATGATTTTATCCCTGTTCTTTCAGTTCCAGTCTACGCAGGGTTAGTCAGCATGCCAAGTATGTGAGCTGACCATAAAAACAAGATCAGTTCGTAGACTCAGATCTTTTGAAAGTGGAAATTACACATCTGCAGCAAAACTGACAGATTTGGTATGTCTCAAATCATCCTGGGAATTTCTCTGAGGATAGCCTTTGTTGTTCTGCCATGACATATCTGCTGCTTTCTACCCTATCTGCCACCAATATTCACCAGCAAGATAGAAATGCAATCCTTGAACAACAATTTCCAAATTTGTGGACAGATATGCCTCAGGGGTCTCCAAATCTCCTCTTCATCCAGAGAAGTTTGCTTTCATATATTTTTATATATTGGGTTTCTACATACAACAGTATTAGGAGAAATAATGTTACATGAAAAATATATTTTGGAAATGTCTCTATTTGCTCCTCACATGCTTTTAAATATT